GGGTATTTTTGGCTGATGTTTTCACGTCAGGTTTTGCCTTTGTTGATTGGTTCGTGACTTGTTTATCATCTGTAACACGCGCCTTTTGTTTATCTTTCTTCCGGGAATTTTTGGGTATCACAGTTTGATTAACAGGGGCATTACTATATCAGGCATTGATGGAAGCTTGATAGGTACTGGATTTGGTGGCATTTGAAATCCTTGGCGTAAAAGTTCATCTACATCGGGCTCAAGTGGATATGACTCATCCATCAGATAATCATCTGTATTTTGAGATCCATCATCATCGTCATCATCATCATTACCCGTATCGCCAAAATTGAGATAGAATTGGGTAGAAAAATTATCCCAAGACTTGGACGCAGCATATAGCGCTATAGAAAATATTAGCGAAAGGGTGGTGGGTTGTATATTCGTAGCTTGAGCTTGTGAAGTGAAGTTCGCAGGGTTGGCTGTCTCGCCAAACCGCTCTATCAGTATCCGGGCTTTATCCTTAGGTACTGAGGGGTTCTTTTCAAATAAGTCTTTGAGGAAACCGTCCTGTACAAAAGAACTTAAGTGGTGTGTAAAAGTTTGAAAATAAATTTCGTTAAACTTGGAAACAAAGTCTAAAGCTTCTTCGTTTGGTGTTCGGCTCTTATCCATAGACATTTTTATATTTATGTAATAAAATTTAATAAAGGGGATTATTTTTTAAAAAAAATTATTACACAGAAATTTTCGTAAAAAATGTATTTGGGAAAGAGTTTTCTTGCGGTCTATCATTTGTGGCCATGTCTCAATACCATATTGTTCACTGTGTTGATACCATCGATCGCTGCCTGACTATCCGTTCATATGAATGTGTAAACATAATTCACTGGGGGCGACTAATTGATTGTCAAATTGTTCGAGGCATCTGAGAACTCCGTGATTAGTAATGTTGATGAGATTATACATGCTGCCCAAATTATTTTGGGATGCCATAATTATAATTTGGGATGCCGTAATTTATTCAATTTATATATAATTTACTATGTAAAGTGCCAAAATAATTTGGGATGCTATAATTGAATTTGGGATTTTACTTATAATTATGGCAGCCCAAAATAATTTGGGTGGCATGTATAGATGAAATGGTTCTTTTAATAATGTCTAGGTCATAACTCGGGATATCAAGTGATATGAAAGGGGATTCATTCTCATGCCATGAAGGTTTCGTGATTATTCTCATCTTGATCAAATCAACAGGTGTCAAAATCTCATAATTGGAAGTGTCCTTAGTTGAACATTTTACATCAATAATTGTTGATTTGTGATATTTTTCCTTCTTTACACACACAGGATCATCCTTTATGTGAGTCGAGTTGGTTGAGCATCTGACGCATTTGGTAATCAAATTATTGTTATCTTGTCTGATCCAATGTTGATATGAGAACTGAATGAGATTTTTCTTTAAAATTTTTCCGAATTGGTACTCATCTCCATCGCGTGTAATGATCCATTCTTTACGCCTTCCATCGCTTGAAGGAGGAGAAGGTGTAAGTGTAATAGTCTTATTAATCAGGGTAATCGTAGCTTGGTACCGTTCTATTAATGTATGTTGTCCGTTCAAATTCTGATCGATAGCTATTTCTTCCAAGTATTAAAAAAAATTTGGGATTGGCCCTTTGGGATTTTTACCAAAAATCTTTTTGATCTGAGTCCAGGATAACATATCTACACCATTGTTGTGTGTAATGTGATCTAGAAAGTTAATATCAAGTAATTCTGCAGGTCATTTAATAAAAGATTCAATGGCCTTTCCTAAAGCTAAACATTTGATCCTTAAATGATTTCAATAAATTAAAGTTAAAGTTATTTTGTAAATTAATTTAACCAATATGCATCCTTGTAATTCCATCCCAATCTCGTGAATTAATTCTAATAATAAATTCCAAATATTGTGCTGTACGTAAATGCACAATATTTTGGTACGTGAAAATATTATTATTCGCGGACCTTGTGATTCTCATTTTTGTCTTAAGTAGATTATGAAGTGTTTGGCATTAATTTTCACTAACTAAGGTAGTTTTCAGTCTGTATTCGAGCCTTGCCATTAAAACTACATTATTGACATATGCTATTTGGCTTGCTGTGACCTTCTTGTGTCTAAGTGCGTTAGTTATTGAAGTAATTTCTTGTTGCGCTCTTTTAAATACATGACTCTGGACTGCTCTGCTTCTGATATAAATGCCCAGATATCTAGCATCTTTTAAGGGAGGGTTGGCTTTTATCAATGTCAAGTCGGTTCCCATATTAATTTCATTTGAAGTGCCTTTTGGTGTGTTCCAAACCAGGAGTTCAGACTTTTCTCCATTGATCGTAATATCATTGAGTTTGAAGAATGAGTTTGATATGCTGATGATCTTTGTTATCTCATCTTTATTAGAAGCAATCCATGCAGTATCGTCTGCGTATGCTATACAAGAAACCTTAAGTGTAGTTTCAGATGCAACAACATTGTGAAAATCTAGGATCATAGAAAATGCGCCAAATGAGTGGTGAAATTGTTTCTCCCTGATCTATGCCGTCCCTACCTGGAAAACATTCGAAAGTCCATATGCCATGATTATTTGAAGTTTCCTGTTTTTGAATAAATTAATAATGAAATCCATCCTTTTTAGCACCATTTCTAATGGGATCATTCCGACTGAATCAAAAGCCTTCGTCATATCTTGCAGGCAAATCCACAATTCTTTTATTTTATTTATTTTTATTTTTAAAATAAAGACTAGTACTGGGGTCGCACAATACATAGGAACAGGAACCTACAAAGTAAGACCATTATTCCAAATTAATGATCAACCCAACCTCTCAAACGAATCGAAGGGGTCGCCTAGCCTCGCTCCACAAGGAATGCAGGCTTGGCCACAACTCAAGCGACGAACCAAATAGAACAAAAAAAAAAGACACTCAAACACTAATTTAGCGAGAGTTCCCAGTCAAAAAAGAAAGAAAAAAATTAATTCTGCTTATTCTGAATAAAATCTATTATTCTTATAACTACTAAATCTTTAAGAAAAAAAGAAAGAATCGCCAGCGTTAACCGAACGAAATTGCTATACTAGTTTTCGCAGTAAGGATAAAATTTCTGCTAAAACCTCCGTGTTATCCTTATTACCTCCTTTATCCCTGGGCTTCTTATTGGACTTCGACTTCTGGGATTTGGGATCCTTCAACGAGTCTTTAGTAGATTTGGCTTGCTTCTTAGCACTGGTTGAGGATTTCTGGTTTTTCTTCTTAAGGTTAACGTTACCAGACTGTTGCACGGATTTCCCAGGCTTCTTGTCAAGAACATTCTTTGCCTTTTATTTGGTTGGTGCTTTCTTCAAGGTAGGTAAGAAATGTTGACACCATTTCAACTCCAGGAAATTCTCCCAGAAAGCTTGCGGAGTTCCTAGGGCTTTGAGTGTAGCCTCCCAATTCTCGAAATATCCTACGAGCTTCCTCTTACCTTTACTTGTTTGNTCTCGAAATATCCTACGAGCTTCCTCTTACCTTTACTTGTTTGTATAATTTTAAACGCGCTAACACCGCACATCATTAAAAATGGTTGTGGTTTACGGTCTGCCCACAAGGTAGCCATTGTCATCTCAACCGGAATATTGTGAATGACGGCTTGGAACTTTTCGCGTTGTTTCCTTTCTCGTAAAGTCCAACTTGCGGGAAACCATCTCACTGGTATATCTCCCAGGTCAGTCGTCCAGAACTTGGTGAATTGGGGAAGGGAAAATGAGTTCAAAACAATTTTGACTCTAAGAGTCTGGTATTTGTGTTGCCGTTTTAATGACAACTTAAGAGTTTTGCCCCATAACGTTAATTCTCCTAAGATTTTATTAACGTCCCAGGTATACGGAATGTTGTATACAATAATGTCTCTGACTTGCTCTCGCTCATCATCGCTTTCTTTGTATCCTGTCAGTATATGTGTGGCCCCAGGTGCGGTAGTTTTTGCCCCCAAAAATAGGGTATTTTGTTTGTCCGAGGTTTGTGCCTCAGGATTTGCCGTAAATGATTGGTGTATGATTTGTTTATCAGCTGCAACACGGGGTGTAACATATACTGGTTTTGGTGTAGTCTTCGGTGTTGATATGTACGTAGATCCAAATTCATCTTCAGCGGAGGGACATTCCGACTCTGAGTCACCCATGTCACCAAATCTCGTATAGGCGCGGGTAGCAAAATTATCCCATGACCTGGACGAAGCGTAAAGGGCTATAGAAAATAATAGTGAAAGGGTGGTTGGTTGTATATTCGTCAATGCCGCCTGTTGAGCGAAGTTGTTCGGGTTGGCAGACTCGCCAAACATATCTACTAAAAGCTGTGCTTTATCCACAGGTTGCTGTGGGTTTTTATCAAACAAAGTTTTGAGGAAACCGTTCTCAACAAACTGTCCAAGCTGAAATGTTGTATAAGATAAGAACGTTTCCCCTTCTGCTGAAACGAACTCTAAAAAGTCATCAACAGATATATTTTCTACTGAGTCTCCCATGTTCGACATTTTTATTTTATGTAAAAAATTTTTAAATAAAGTGAAGAAATTTAAAAAAATTTTTGCAGAAATTTTCGTAAAAATGAAAAGGAGAAAGAGTTTTTTTGTATTTATTGCAAATCCACAATTCTATTTTATTTATTTATTTATTTTATGTGAAACCGGCAGGGGATACAAATGTGAGTATGATTCTGAAGTAATACAACCCAACTAAATCCTACCATCGATTTCCAGAGGAGCCGGAAGCCAACCCGAACTATTTGAAAAAAAAAAGACCTGCACTACTACCACGTCTGATAAAAGTCCAGGCAAACACACTGGGTAAAAAAAGGAGGGGGAAAAAAGTGCAAAGGACAAGTCCCCTTTCCAAGAAATTGTGGTGCATACACATAAACCTATTCTATCCTAAAAAATAATACAATTCTGAAATTCGTAAAACCGCTAATTAAAGCGTAGGCTAAACAAGTTTCTGTAATAAAGTTAAAATCTCTGCTAAAACCGCCTTGTTATCTTTATTACCACCCTTAATCTTCGAGGTATTCTTTGCCTTCTTCTGATTCTTCGGGTGTTTCTCCTCCTGGTTATTATTTATC